TTGATGTTCATTTCGAAAGCATAGTTTTAACTTCTTACTTCCTGTCAACGAGTTTTTCACTCATTGTTACAATTAAAATATTTTTTAAAATATTATAAATAGTTTTAAAAATAAATAGTTTATTATAAATAGTTTTTAAAAATATTTTAAACAGAAATTAAGTATTTGTGTAGAAATATTCCTAAAAAGAAACAATTATTTTTTTTCATGGCCTAGAATGGAAGCACTCCTAAAATTTATAAGTGTAAAAATAAAATAATATAAAATTTTAAATAATGGCCTCAATACGTCATATTTATTTATTTAATAAGTACAAACAACACATGGAAGTAGCTGATCTTTAGGATAGTTGTCACATGGAAGAGTACCACAGCTGATTTTGACATCGCTGACATGATCATGTTTCTCTGTCTTAGACATGATCAGAACATCTCTGTCATGTTCTTCGGAGTGGACGTCCATGCAAACGAAATCACCTTTCCTGCTCCTCAAATCTTTGGTCATAATGTAGCCAGAATATTCCAATGTCCATTCATTTGGACACTGCGTCCGACCAGGAAATACTGTCGCTGATGTCCTTTCTTCGACGAGACACATGCCGCATGCTATGGACTTTTCGCTGGATACGTTTCGTCCTTGTAAATGAACAGGAACAAGTTTTGAATAGAACCTGCAAAAAAAATTTAATATTTAAGCTACACTAATCTGAAACCACTTGTTTATTTTATTTCTGTAAAACTAAATGATTTACTGAGAAGAAAAATTAAAGGAGAAATATATTTTTAATTCGTTCAGGAGGAATGGGAAAAAAACTGCCATACTCTTACTGACGCTAGTGATGCTAGATTAATTTTGGTAATAGATTCAAGTTGAAATAAAAGAAGACAAGTACTTTAGTACTTATCTTCTTTTATTTTATTATTATCTTCTTTTATTTTATGCAAAATTAAAGGAAAAATTTAAATAATTCGGTTAAGAAAAGCCTTAAGTTCGGAGGGATGACCTCAAATAAGCTAATTAACTGGTGCAGACGCTATTTTAAGTTACGAATTCAGGTGAGTACTTTCCCTGAATAAACAAACCTATTCTATGTAATTCGCGACA